AGAAATATGCTTTTTTAATATATGAAACAGATAAAGAATTAAAATTCTTTTTACACACAAAATTAATAATAAGTAAAAATTTAAAAAATTAAAGAAACTAAATAAAGAGAAAATAAAGAGATTCTCAAAGAATAGAAATGTAAGTTAAAAAAGAATTAAAAGATAATTATATTAAATTTTGCATGAAAAAAGCAAGTTTTAAAGCAAGCACTGTTTACTAAATTAAAACATTAAATAAATACTGCATTTTATTCATTTTTGATTCTGCTCCTTTTTTTGGAATTGAATTCTTTGTGCATAATTTCACTTTCAAACTTTGTATAACATAAATACTGTTTAAAGCTCGACCTTTTCAAAATCAGATTCGATTTCAAGAGCAAAACTTTACGAACTTAGAATGATGAGTGCGATTTTACGCCGCTTCATAGATCTCGATGACGAAAGAGGAGAGATGGGAAGGTAGATCTACCGGTTTGATTAACCGGCAAGAAGAATAAAGAAACAGAAAAGGGGGGAGATGGGAGAAAGAGAGAACTAGTGAGAGAATAAAGGAAGAAGAATGAACCAGCTTACGAGAGAGGCGAAGAAGCGAGATGAAGAAGACTAAGAGCAGCAAAATAGAGAGAGAAGAAAAGATTGCGAGTGAGAGGAGGCGACAAGAAGCTGCGTTGCTCTAAGAGAAAGAAAAGGAGGAAGAGAAGAAGATGCTGGAGAATAAGAAGATAGAGCAGAAATAATACCAGAAGAAAAAGTTTTGTGTCGAAGAAGGAGTTCTGTTCCGCGAGGAAAACTAGGAGAGCAGTCGAGAGCATTAACTACGATAATGAATGTTTTAGTACGCGAAAAGTCTCTCTCTCTCTCTCTCTCTCGCCCGGTGTACACAAAAGAAAAACCCACCAAATAACGATCCGACACCGAGCCACCCGTCCACACACTCGACCGGCGCGCAACCGACTGAGTGTACGCGGCGCTCACCTACGCCGCCGCAGCTAGTCCCTTTTGTGCGACAGGCTCGGAGGTTGCGGCGTCGGCGCACTGCGCCTGCGCAGAATCGACGCGGAAAGTTGGAAAAAGCGAGACGAGGACGGCGCGCCAGCGACGATTTTACTTCCGACCGGTCTCTCTCCTTCGGAATGTTACCGAATAATTGGTTTCTCGAAATCTCGGATCTCCTACGTATTATATTTTCTGATCAAAAAAAATACGTGAGTTTGAAATATGGTTTCGTACATTTTGTGTAGAACAAATATCGATCCGATTCTGTGAAAAATTGTGCGAGGAGAGAGCTTTTTCTTCGACTAGCAATAAATGCGGATGAATATGTATTTTATTTTACGAAATATTTTAAGAAATATTCCGATGATAAATAGCCTCTCAAATCGCGGTTACGAAAAGTTCGTTTTCTGTCATGATTTACATATCGTGTGCAATATGTATGTCGATGCTAAAATCAAATTTTTTCTTTATATCGGATATAATATTCATTGTAAAATTAATAAATTAAAATTAATAATGCAAAATTAAAATTGATAATGTATACTTTTAATTTTGTACTCATGGCAAATTTTGAGATAAAACAATCTATCATCGAGTTACTGTAACAATATTATAATTCCTTCGTATAGCATATATGAATAAAATATGAATTATTTTTGATAAAAAGAGATATGACATAATATCACTATTTTCATCTGTACTGTACCCGCTTTATCTTATTCCCCAGGCGTAGGAATACAAGACGTCGCTCATGACATCATCAATCCTGCTTACTCGTATTCTGGACCGCGGGCACGCCCTATCATCCGTGTTATTCTTATAATGTAAGTTTTTTCTCGTTATAATACACAGATGCATGCCACACATTCCGCTTATTGTTATCGCATATCGTGAGCGAAAAAAGTCCGCGGTACTTGGGCGAAAAGGCCATGTTCTGATTTCGAAAGTTTCAATTTCGAATATCACGCGCGCGATTACGTAGCCAATCACATAGCTTCAGCATCAATAGATTTGTTTTTTGTAGCTGCACCGTTTTTTATGTATCATTTATCTCTTTCTTTTCTCTCTATCCCTTCAATATTTAGATATATACTTATTTTATTTTGAGTGCACAGAAAGAAAAATATAGTGCAATTATACAAAGAATAACTCATACAAGAGATACTATGTATCTTCTCAAAATTTTATTTATTTTACAATTACTTTGCTGCAAAGTGTCTTGTAAAAGCACGAAGAAACAGAATACTTTGCTTTTACATTTTTTACAATATTTATTTTTATATTTATCTCTTTTATAGTATGCAATATAAAAAGCGCAAAGAAAGATAGAAATTAATTGATTTATTAGAAATTATAATAAAATTGATTGATTTATTGAAATTTAGATTTATTACGAGAAATAGCCTTAATGATAATAATTAATAAGTAGTTCTTTTTTCTAATAGGAATAATCTATGAGTTTTATATATAATATATATATATCGAAATTTTATATTCATATATGAAACCTATATAAAAAGAACATACATTAAATATTTACGATCTTAGATATATAACTGTGATTATATAATGTTGCGTAGCTCTGCTATTTTTTATCCTTTGCGATCTTGACAAGAATAATGTACTATATCACCATTAGGATACCTCGCGAAAGCACTAAGAAAACAGAACTAATTAATATCGTATAAATATAATTTGTAACAAATATAATTTGATAGGTTTTATACTTTGAATTATAAAATCTATAATATTTACACACCTTTGGTTGCCAAAGCGTTTTTTACAAACTGGACATATATTAAACTCTGTCATGAGGACGCTCTGTGACTCATAATGCATTCGTTGTTCCTGTACTTGTAAATGTTCCGCGTAAAGCAGCCCTTTGAGAACCTGTGTTCTTCGCCTTGCATTCAAATTATTTTGCAAACCAACTTCCAAGAAATGTTTTATTCTACCGATAGGTACAGAATCCGGTAAAACTTTCAGGGCTTTCATAGGATTTATTTTTGAGGCATGTTCCTCTAATAGTTGAAGGGCCATCTCTAAATCTGGTTGTGCCGTTCTTTGAATTTCTGGATTACAACCTTGACAAAGGAAAAAATATAACATATAATTATATAATTA